TGTGTACATATACAGTATCTCCAAAGTGACAGAGCTGTGTGTACACACAGGGTATTTGGCTGATGGTATATCTAAACAATGAGGACATATAAGGATTTGCAGTAAACTGTCGCACACAGATTCACATTTTATCAAGACCAGGAGTTAAATCATTTGCTCCACAGCACTTATCCTCAGCCAGAGTCCTAAGCTTCATCACACCCAAGGTTTTTCTTTTTCTTTACCTAAAAGAGCCTGAAAATTTTAAACAATTTGTCTTTTAAACAATTGTCCTGTCAGGTATTTTATCAAAGAGATTTTTCCATTTTGCAGTGACACAGCAGAATGTATTATCACACCAGGCGGCTGACGTTACATAGTAATAAAAACACACTTTATCTTATATGAGTTTAAGATTACACATTACTTGTCAGTGTTTAGGAAATGAAGACCTAATAAAAAGATATCTGCTATACAGTCAGCAGATTTGAACTATATATACTGTTAATTATTTACTAAAAATAGTTGGATTATGCAACATGCTAGGTGAATGTTTTACTCTCAAATAAACAGCAGCCTTTTTCTGACACCCCAGTAATATGAAATAAATCACTTCTCCAAATCAAAACACTTTACATGATGATGTTTAAAGTATTCCTCTGATTAGTATTAAGGTGTTTCTCTCTGGCATTCTCTGTAGGTCACTCTGATAATGGAGCTTTCTGGCGTTCCCTGTATGAAACGCCTACCTTTGAAGAAGATCTGGAGACTCTGTGGAAAGAGCTGGAGCCACTCTATCTAAACTTGCATGCTTATGTTCGAAGGGGTCTATATAATAAGTATGGCTCCAACTATATCAACCTAAAGGGGCCTATTCCTGCTCATTTACTTGGTAAGTAATGCGATTTGACTGCACTCGAGGCTCTATGTGGACTTCAGATATTTAGTTTTTTTGATGATAGCAAGGTCACAGGACAGAACCACTTTTCAGCCAGCGTTTCACTTTGGAATCCCAAGTATTCTAACACTATAGACACAACTCTCCTTTTATGTCTGAGAGTAGCCCCTTCATATTCTGTCGTTGACTGTAGAAGCGTTTGGATTTAGCCAAGATTTAATTTGCTTTCAGGGGCATCAAGCGTGAGATTGTGTGTGACAGTTCCACATGGTCAGGGATTGGAGCGACTCACAGTCCTAAATTCCACTTGGTTAAACACTGGCACAGCCGATGACCTTCTACCTGACTTCTTAAGACTAAAAATATGGAACATGAGTACTGTTTTTTCTCTTTTTCAGGCAACATGTGGGCACAGACGTGGTCTGGCATAATGGATTTGGTCATACCCTACCCAGACGCTACACAGGTCGACGCCACCCCAGCCATGGTGCAGCAGGTGAATGGATGCATGAACCAGCCGTTGCTTTAAAACCATTACTGCACACTTCCAAATCCAAGGAAGCATGCAGAAAACATATGCAAGCATCTTTTCTTACAGTCTTTCTCATTTCTCTCACTCAGGGATGGGATGCCATCAGAATGTTTCAGGAATCTGACAAATTTTTCACCTCACTTGGTTTGGAGCCAATGCCGCCGGAATTCTGGAACAAATCTATGCTGGAGAAGCCGTCTGATGGACGCCAGGTGGTGTGCCACGCCTCTGCGTGGGACTTCTATAACCGAAAAGACTTCAGGTTGAGCCTAACCTTTTCCCCCTTCAAGCTAGAATCAAGAGACACGTAGCAGCCTGGAAGCCTTACCAAAATCTTACAGAATATCAGTAAAATCTCAGAATCTTTATATGATACTTAACAAAGGCACTCCCTGAAGAAGCCTGATAATGAAATGGGATGGCATGTACGAAAAACTTTTATAGTCTTCTTCTTTTCACGCATGTTCAGCTAATGTAAGAGCCTCATTTGCCCTAACATGCTGCTCCACTGTGGCATCCACCTCAAATCTTCTCCAACCCTTGATCATTTCTAATATAATTTCCAAACTGTTGGAGATTATATTATATGTCTCCTTCCTGTTGGGCTGCCACAGTTTGTCCTCAAAGAAAAACTATTGGCTCTGAGAAGGCAAAGATAGGCATGGCTAAGTAAAAGGGTATTTTTGTATTACTTTGGATATTGTTTTAGCAGAACATATAAACTATATATGTGTACTATGTCTATTATTAGTATTATTTGTGTGAGGTGGAGTCATGAGTTTGTCTTTGAAACATTTTCATAATTTGCTCTAATGATTTCTTTGGTTGCTTCTCCAGGATCAAGCAGTGCACTGTTGTCACAATGGATGACCTGATCACCGTGCACCACGAGATGGGCCACATTCAGTATTTCCTGCAGTACAAAAACCAGCCCGTGTCCTTCCGTGACGGAGCCAACCCCGGCTTTCACGAGGCCATTGGAGATGTACTTGCCTTGTCTGTGTCGACACCCAAACATCTGCAGAGCATCGGCCTCCTGGACAAGGTTGAGAACAACTATGGTGAGTGATGTTTGCAACAAAAGCAAAATCTTTGAATGCATGTTGCTGTATTACAGCATATGATTTTGGCATTGATAAACACCTCATTTAGAGAGTGACATCAACTTCCTGATGAGCATTGCACTTGACAAGATTGCCTTCCTACCTTTCGGCTACCTGATGGACCAATGGAGGTGGAAGGTGTTTGATGGACGCATCCCACACACCGAGTACAATAAAGAATGGTGGAACCTCAGGTAAAGTTTATATCACAGAAATTGCATTTATTGCATTCATAGATGATGATTCACTAAGGAATTATAACAAGCATGCATGCCTCTTTTCTTTGTATTGCAGATTGAAGTACCAGGGATTGTGCCCACCTGTAACACGCACTGAGGAGGACTTTGACCCAGGTGCAAAGTTCCACATCCCAGCTAACGTTCCCTACGTCAGGTAAGGCTTTCTGATTCTCAAGAACAAACGCATGTGATATTTTATCACCGATAAGTGATAAATGATTCCATACTCATCACCTCATCATGATTGATAAGATAAATATGCTGTGGAACACAACACGATCTTACTATTGTGCAGTAGCACAACTGGACACTGAGCATAGTGCTGACCCTACTTTTTTTTTTATCATCTTCAATCAGGTATTTTGTCAGCTTTGTCATCCAGTTTCAGTTCCACAAAGCTCTGTGTAATGCTGCCAAGCATAATGGACCTTTATACACTTGTGACATCTACCAATCCAAAGAAGCTGGAAAGCTCTTAGGGTTAGTACGCACACTTACACACACGCAAGTGGAGACGCTCATATGTATGCTATTTTTTTGTTTTCAGCACTGGCCATCTTAATTGTTTATCCGAGACATCCTTATTAGTTATCCTAGTCTTCTCTGACCTTCTCTCTAACCTTTCTATTGCTGTTTTCAGTGATGTAATGAAGCTGGGCTTCAGCAAGCCCTGGCCTGAGGCTATGGCTATGATCACTGGCGAGTCCAAAATGAGTGCCCAGCCACTCATGGAGTACTTCCAACCTCTCATTGAATGGCTTGAGAAGGAGAACAGCAAGAACAATGATGTTCGCGGGTGGCCAGATTACGACTGGAAGCCTTTTAGTATGTTAACAGAAACACATACATGTATTCACTCATCAAAACTTTGCTAATAAGTTTTCCATAGTCAAGGCCAAAAGTTTCTGAACACCTACTCTGAAAAAAAAAGAAACACACATGGGAATTCTTTGTGTGTGTGTTTCTCCTCTGCTGCAGCTGAAATGAATCTCCTACTCATTTTGTTTTACAATGCACACACTCTGACTGAATTGATAAAAACATTACTAAGAAAGTGAAAGAAAGGCCCTGGTAGGGATAGTGGAGAAAAGTGAACGCATCTCTTATTGGAGAGATTAAATTATGAAACCAATAACTAGATGCAAAACTAAATGAATTAGTATGGAAATGATTTTTAATGCTTTTTAAAAGTATTAATTTCATTATTATCTTTCATTATTATTATTATCTGAAACTAGTACCGACACAGAAATGTTGTTACACATGTGCATTGTTACTCACAGAACAACAGCAGTTTTCTAATTAAGACATATCAACCTGCGCCACCTCTTGGTATGAAGAGGAATAGCTCTTGTAAATACCTAGCTACTGCTGGGCCTCTTGTTAAAGCAGCTTTTACTGATCTCTGTAGATGGAAACGTTTCTTCCCCATTGCTTTCCAAAATAAGCACAACAAGAAGCCATTTGAAAATGACTGCACACGTACCCTTTATGTTTTAATTGCTGAGTGAAAAACAACCATTTAAACATGTTTGTATCCCCAACAGGTGAAGCTAAAACAGTGGATTTCCTGGGTTTAAATGTGAACAGGTCGGCTGCCACAGTCGGCCAGTGGATCCTGTTGGCCCTCGGCATGCTGCTATTGGTGGTCACCATCCTTATGGCCTACATGTACAGGAAGGCAAGAAAGCCTGAAAAGTCCTTGTCTACTATGGAGCTGAAGCAAAAAGATTAGCCATGTTTGAAGACTGAACGACGAGAGTGAAGCCTGACTTACTGTAGCTGGCACAATACCAACCTCAATGTGAACATCAGTGTTTTTTGTGTACTGCACAACATCTGAACAAATTTGCTCCTCATGTTTTGTCTGCCTACCAAGTTTTGCATATTTATTGTATACACAAAAACACAAAATTCCTTACTTGCCTATGCAAAAGAACACATGCAATTTGTTTTTGTAATTTATTTGTAAGCTTTGATGTTAAAGAAGGAAGAGTTTTAAAATGAAAAAATGAAAATTTGTAAAGTCATTCATTGTGTAAGTGTTTCTGAATATTTGATTTTTTTCTAATAAGTTGAATCCTCAGCATTTCTACAATAAAGACATTAAATATTTATTCTGCCTCTGGAGACGTGACATGAATGAATTACAAAAGTTATTAAAAACAATTTCATTACAATAAAAAAAATGCACAGTAACATAAAAAAGGCAACACCACACGATGAAAAAAAAAAGAGCTTGTGCACTGTTTTCAGCCCTTCCCTCTTTACTCACAGAGTCAATACAACCTCTTTAGTGGCTACAGTTGCACAACAGAACACAGTACCTGCAGGCTCTCAGGTAACACACACTGGAGCAGTAAAGCAACACTTAGTCCCATCAGAGACTGTTTAATAACAGGCTTATAACAGCAGTCTATCATTACAGGTTTACCTTAACGGGGGCCACAGAGGCCTAGAAACAATCCAAGAGAAGGCTTACTGTCTTTTAAAAATACAAAGCTCAGTGACAGTGAGAAAACAAATTCATTAAAACAGTCAATTTAACGCAACTTGTTACTATATACAATTTATACCTACCTATGTATACTGGATCGTAAAGTCTCCACAAAGACATCATCCTACTAAACTAATCCAGTGTTGTGACTCCCTGTATGACATTCTTTAGATATGTATGTTAATGTATTAGCCTAAGATGATGTAATAAATAATACTCCCTGACTAAATCAACACACAGACATGAAGCTATTGCTTTCAACTTGTTACAAACCTGCTTTCGGCGTTCACTGCTGTGGAATTCAATGCCGGAAATTACAGTGCATCCGCTGGGGCTGTTTATGCATTTGAGGCTAGCGCCAAAACCATTCCAACGCAAAGTCAGGGTACATTTGATGTGAACATTCACTCATAAGAGAGCGGCTGCTGGTCATTATGTTCTAAGTGTAGGGGTTGAAAATGATCTACAAATCAGCTTATCTTGAATTAAATCCCTAACAGAGTCACTGACTCCTGACCACAAAGTGATAGAAGCAGAAAGGACATTTACAATCACAGATTAAGATATATACACTCAGAATAGATATGGAAATAGGCACGGTGTGAAACAGCACAACAAATGACCAGCAACATTTCTCAGAAATTTTAGGGGAAAAAAAGATATAAAAAAATACACATACAGAAAAAAAAAAATTCAGTACATTAGCTCCTACAACACAATCAAAACCAGTTACTTTTGTATGCGACACAGCTTCTAATGTACAAAGTACATGCACATTCACAAGCGCTTAACAAGTTACAATCTCTGGAACAAAATGTTCAGTGTATTGCACAAAAAAAGAGTCTATAAAAAATAAAACCAATAAAAAAAATGAATGCACTATCCACAGTTGGTCCATGTTGGTCCATGTGGCTCAGTCTAGCCCAGGGTTTTTTGGCCTCTTGACACTGAGCAGTTCAGGGTTTAAAACAAAGGCCTCAGTAGTAGTAATGCTGCATCTCTGTCCAACTTGTGATCCAATACTTTTTCTGTGGCTCCTCGGGCTGAAACCCCAGATTGAACTGATAACGCTCAGCCCTGCGAATTTTCACTCCCTGGTGTTTTGGCATTATTCTGTAGTAGATGGCTCGCTTGAAGAAGCCAAGCTAGCAGGAAAAAAAAGAAAGGAAGAAGGTGACATTAAAAAGTTTGAGAGCTGAGTTTTTTAATGGCTTAAGAAGAAGATTTAGGATTTAGAAGCTGAGTAGATTCACGCTGACAGAGACAGAAATACGCACTACCCTGCTGATTAAGGGAGGATTCACATGTGTGTGTTCCTTTAAGGTATATCCTCTTATACAGATACCTCGGAAGTCAGATGTCAATCCTTGGGAGTGATGTCACTTCCAAGGTGACTGCATTCCAGTTGTAAAGTTGGAAAAGCACGTAAAAAATGTTTTTGTTCTGCTTCTTAGCAAGGTAGAGCCATTCATTCATTTATTTAACCAGTCATAAATACACAACGTTGGCAGCAGAGATCAAATGTTTTACATTTTTGCTACTGTTTTTCTTCACTGCCACCATCTAGTCAAGTTAGGGTTGGCTACTTTGGTGTGTTCCAGATGAAAACTCTGAAATTCCGTCTTCCAACTTAATCTGGAATGCACTAAGAGTTGCTGGTGCAATCATCGATGTGGCATCAACCAATCAGTCCCAAGGCGAGCTAACAGAGCTTGAATGAGCATTTAAACAAGCTAGCTGTCTGTTAGCTCTCTTTGTTCATATGCTACATGGTGATTATTTATAGCAAGCATAAACGTCACCAGTTTCAAGCCAAACAAAAAGCTGTGCAAGCAACTTCCATCTCTCTTAATAGCATTATTATTTTTATTATTATAACATTATTTTTCTCAAGTATTCAGCAAAGCAGCGCAAGGAAAGCCAGGCAGTGTATATATGTATATGTGAATCCTCCCCAAGATGGAAAAGAAGCAGTGAAAAAAGTTAGCCATACAGAGATCAACAGTGCAGTGTTAGCCTGCAAGGAAAGCAGTCGAAGTGGTTAGTTGAATCACATCCCAAGCTCGGTGCTGTCACTGACAGCATCTACAGAAAAATCCTTTCAAAGGGGTGTTTTTACCCAAAAGCCCCAATGGTGTATGCTGTTGGGAGACATGGGGCCTCAGTAGTCCTCAGTTAGCCTCTCTGTCTCAGAGGGCTGGATCTTCATCTCAGCCTTCTGGGCCTTGGCCTCATACATCTCCCTCCTGCTGGCTCTCTGGAAGAAGCCACACTGGAGGAAGGCGCATGAATTCCGGGGTTAGACTAAGGTGTCAAAACAGAGGTTAAAGCTCAATAAAACACAATCTCACCTTCCATAGTATAAGAATGATGATTCCTAGCAGTGCAATTCCTGCTACAGCTGCAGAGATGATGATCCACAGGGGAAGCTCATAGGGCGTCTCCACCCTTTCCTCTGGTTCTATTTGTACTTTGAACTACAAGAAAAGTGAAGAACATAATATATTATCATATCATAAGCATCATTTTCATTCCTGCCATCATCATCACATACCAAGGCCGTCTGACTCTCCATCTTGATGTTTGATTGATTATTAATAAGCTTCAGTGTGGCTTGGCCTTTAACTTCAACTACAAATGCATCAGAATAGTCCTGTAGGCACACACAGACACAACATCAGAACATTTTCCCAAATGTCAGGGCATAAACAGTAAAATAGGATTGTTATTTCAATCTGCACTTATTTATATTTGGTCATATAGCTCTTTTCTAGAATAAACTCCTTCCACATGTGTACAAGGAAAGCATGAGTGGGTAGGAAGCACCTTCCTGCCCTTCTATTTGCACACATGGAAATCCTGAGGCACGGACATGCCAGAGAAGAACACAGACAGCAGATATCACAGTGATCAAGAGAGACACAGCATGAATAGAAGACAACGTGTTAAAGTGTGAAGAAGCTTACACAGCACCTTGCCAAGTGAGTTTTTGGCCTACCAGATCTAACAGCACAATTGATATATAATTTAAAAAATCTCCATGAATCTACAATATATATTAGCTGGGGAGCTCACCTCTAACATTGTACTATTCCACAACCGGGATCGGACATAAATCGTGGCTGAATTCGAAACATTGAGCAGCGGGCAGGTAAACGTCACACACTTTGCTGTCCCCTTGGAGCAATCCTTTAACAGGCCATAAGAAAGAAACTCTATTAGAGAGTGAACAGATACTGACAGTTAAGACTAGATTTAAAAAGAAAAATCCTATTATCTACAATGGATGACTCAATTTGTATATTAGATGTTAATGCTACTGACGTTGGTATTTGCCACAGTGTGAGGTTGTCAGTCCACTTATTTTGAAAGATATTAAATTCTGTACACAAGACTCCTCACATACAAATGTCACACATATACGCATGATTATGTTAAGGGAATATAAAGCTAGGACTTACCAACTGGTACCTCTTTTTGGGAGTAGAAGACAGTGTGACTGCTGCCTGTGGCTCAATAATATTTGAATGGGTCACGTCATTCTCACCTTCAACTCTAATCTGTCGCTTAGTACGCTTAGGTCTTCTCTCTGACAACTGCAAGATGGGAGAAAAAAAAGAAGAAAGAAAAAGGAAGAAAAAAGAGGAAACAGAGGAGACAGAGACATTACATCAGAGGGTTAATTACTGGTTTGATAAAGACATTATTACATTTTTCTCAGAATAGCATTGTCATTTCAGCTGTCTATATATAGGCTGCATACACTATGGCTTTCTATTTTGGGGCTTTGTGAGGTCTGTGTGTGGTGACAGATGTTTTTTTTCCAAAATGTATTTCTGAACAGTGGTTTGGCATTAAGACCATTTTCACACCACTTTTCTAAAATTGACATTTATTCACACTGCGCTGACTTGAGTTCATGCTGACATCGGCTTGAGCAACACTCGTAACAAGTTGATGACCCACCTAGCTTAATGAATTCATGCTAATGAATTTCTCAAAGGTTGATATTTGAGAAATTGTATTTAGAGGTAAGGTTCATGGGTTTAAAATATATCTCACAGTTTATGGTTCAGTACCTAATGTTTGTTTAAAAAATGTAATGATAAGCCTTGGCTGTACTTTCTGTTTAGTGCTAATGAGTAAAAGCTAGCATGCTAATGTGCTAAATAAAGATGGTAAGTGAATTAAACATAAGAACTTTAGCTTATTTGGATGCTGATGGAATTTAACTCAGAGTATATGTCATATATTTACCTTTAAACTGCTGTTTAATTCTCTGCGTCTTTTGACACTGCCAAAGACACTATGGAGTCCTCCTTGTTTAGATACCGCAGTCGTTGGTCAAACTATTCTTGACACTGTCACTTCTGTTCTAAACTGAAACCTAAACAATGGCTGAATGAAACCGTTTGCAGTGTCAGATGAGACCGCAGGAAAACAGAACATCAATAGCAAAAGGTAAAGTACAACGGTTTTTGATATTCTTAAGGAAAACTTCACGTTGTTATCAAAGACCTGTAAAAGCTGAAAAAAACCAAGCAGATAATATTTTTAACAACTGTCACAGACGCTTAGTGAAATTAACTCTTTGATTAAAATCCCTCAACTTACTTAACTCATGACATGTTAACTCATCCCGCCTTCACTGTTGTGATTGGTGTGGGGGTAGGGACAGGCTTAGGGCGTCGGGGGGTTCCCCGGAGGCATCTTCCTTGGGGGGCTCAACCCGGGGTAGCGGTCATGTCCGGTTAGGGGCTCTGTTGGCTCTCCGGTGACTGTTTCCTCGCGGCTGCGTGCAGCGGGGCTAGGGGAGGGTCTGTGCTGACGGACGTGGGTTACTGACCTGGTAGCCTGGCTGGCCCTGGGTGGGTCCGGGATGGGCGTGAGGTTCTGGGGGCGCTCCGTCTCTGGGCTGGGACCCGGACCGGGCCTCGGGGGCTTGGGTCCTGGTTGGTGTGTTGCCGGGGTTGTGGGCGGGTGGGTGCATGGGGGCCCAGCCCTGGAGCAGGGTGCCGCCGGTGCATCGAGCCACCTGGGGGGCTCTTCAACTGGTGGGGGAGATTGTCACATCTTGCAGGAGCTTTCCTCTCCTCAGGAGCTCCCTCTGCAGGAGGGGGAGATACAGGAGAGGTGGAGGAAGATCTCAGCCTGGGTGTTTATTGTCTTATGTAGTCTGGAAGATGAGTGGATGGTGGGGTGGGTGCAGTTTTCTCTGTGGTGGGGTTGGGTGGACTGTCCCGGGCTCTGTGGGGCTCCCTTCCTTCCCTCCCCATCTCCAGCTGCCGTCCGACTGCGGTCTGGAGTGTGGAGCCTTCCTGCTGCTGCGGAGTCGGGGCGGTCTGCCTCCCCCCACCGCAGGGAAAAGGGAAACACCACCTGGGTCTGGGTGCAGTTCCCCCCTCCAGGGGCGGGGGCACCTAGACCCGGTTTGTAGAGTACGCTTGGGGAGTGTGATCGTGTGTACAACGTCTCTTTATGTCTGTCTCCACGTTGGTTGAGTGTGGAGTAAGTGCATATGAGAGCATGAGGGTGGGAATGGATGTTTGTATCTGTGTGTGCCTGTATGTCTGTGTCTATATGTCAGGTTGGGTATCAGACGCCACCTCTCTGGGGACATCTCAGGCCCTCCAAGGTTTGGAGGCCTATCTCCCCCTACCACCACTTCCCCTGCCAGTGGCGGACCCCTCAGACATCGGTGCGTTGGTGGTTCTTTGTGTCCGGGGATGGGCGTCCAGGTACACACCGGCTCACTCCTTGGCGGCCGCTTATCGGGGCCTGGAGCCTGGGGCTCGCTCGGGCCACTTCGGAGGTGGGGTGCCCCCGGCCTCTCGCCTGGGGCGCTCGGGCCACTTCGGAGGTGGGGTGCCCCCGGCCTCTCGGCCTGGGGCTCGGTCACTCAGGCGCAGCTGGCTGCCGGCGGAGCTCACGGGCGCGTCACTGCAACTCCCCCTGGCTTCTGCTCCGCGGCTGCTGAGTGAGCCCTCATCTGGGACTCTCCTCAGCTCTTTCCGGGACAGTGGCGCAGCTGCCCCTCTGTTGGTCTTCCTTGGTCTCTTGTGTTCTGGGGGCCTCTGGATGTCTGGAGTTTTGATCTCCTCCACACCTGCTTCACGCCCTGGAGGACGGGGCTGTGGCCCCCCCACACCCTCTAGCAGATTATTACATGAAGGAACCTTTTAAAAAACAAAAACAAGCGCGTCCATGCTCACAGGTGTACACACGGGTGATCACACCCACAAACTACACCCTTTTTGGCTCCTACCTCAAAGCACACTGTGTTCTGTTGATCTTATGTGCTGCACAATAATGTTTAACATTTAGTATTTACTGTCATATTCCCATATATCATTGTGATGTTGTTTATTCTATTACTCTTGTTCTCTTCTGCTTGCTTTCTTTTTTCTTTCTCAGCAGGTGATCCAGGTGATTGATATATGCATTTTTTTTCTCTGCCCGTTCTGTTGGTTTTTGTCTTTTGCCCTTCTCCCCCGTCCCTCTTCTCAGCTGTTTCTCTTTCCCTCTTTCTTTCTCCCCTTCTTTCCCCCAGTCAAGTCTGTCCCGTATTCAGTAAGTGAAAATAAAATAAACAATAAAAGGTGAATCAAATGGACCATTACGGCAAGGCTGGGATGGTCAGTTTGGTAAAGTAAATCCGTTGGGCATCTTTCTTTGCCTTTAGACAATAATTCTGATGGCAAAAGAGCCAAACGGGACAGGCCAAAAAAAAAAAAAAAAAAAATAAAAAAAAAAAAATCTACATCTGGACGTTTTCAGTGGGAGAAACCGTTTGTTTGTTTTTTGTTTTTTTTTCCAGTTTCACTGATTGCTATGTGGAGTTCCCCAAGGTTCGATTCTGGGGCCAGGCTTGTTTTTTTACCTTTACAATTTACCCCTAGGATCCATTTTAAAAAGACATGGCAGTTCTTTACACTTTTATATTGATGATCATCAAATTTACCTACCCTAAAAAGGTCTTTAAAAAACACAGAGTGTTTCAGGGACATCAAACCCCTTGATGGCTCTATATTTTTAAATATTCAATGACAGTAAAACTGAGGTTGTGATACTTAAACCCAGTGATGCTGGCATTGCCTCAAAATTGGGCTCTGTGGAACCTTATATTAAGCCCACTGTAATCAACTTTGGAGTTCAAGTGAACTGTGATTTTAAACTGGATAAACATATATCCATAAATATACAGCTTTATCCATCGTCAGATCACTTAGTGATTTTGAGAGTTATAGAAGTGTTTATTTGTATGTAAAGCGTATATTTTTTAATTATGTTTTTACTGTGTGAAATTAATATTTTTGGTCAGTTTTTTAATGTGTTTTATAAATAAGGTTGCATCAGACTGAACTGGATTGAAGGTACAGCTAGCCTCTCTGTATGGCTTCACAGAGAGGCTAGCATAGATGTTGACTCATTTTTATGTGACGTTCAAGTTTTTGAATGTCTTAAAAGTTTGATTTGTGTATTTTTTGTTGCTGTTAAGTTTTTGTTTTTGGTCTTACTCTGGGTCATCTTCACAGATATCACACGCTTCAAAAAGTGTTAAAAAGAACCTTACAGTTAGGTTAAGCATGTTGACCACATTCCCAGGAGGTTTGCACTCCGTTTCAGAATCCCCCTGAACAACAATCTTCGTCAGGTACAGCAACCACTTGCCGTTTGCTACCTCACAGGGCCACTCAAACTCCACAGCCAGGGTTGCTATGTCTTGCAGCGATTGTCCCATTGTGTTCATCTAGAGGTGGAAGCAGTCAGAAACATTAAAAATAGAAGTGAAATACATCAGATGGTATGAAATAACAACATGGTGACTGTAACTCCTAAACAGTATCCACCCCTGCTCACACTTAAACCACAAACCATGGCTGACACAACAATCCACAGCCGACGCAATATTAAACTTCTGAAGTGCTGGCTTCAAAGACAGGGTGGGGATGATGGAAATGTGGGTGAGTAACACACATTATAGATACAATGTACAATCTCTGAGTGGTGAAGATGACTCACAGTAAAGGTGAACTCCACCAGACTGCCCACGTCACTTGTGTTGACCATGGCTGACTCGCCCATCACTGTCCCACCAAACTTTACTGTTTCCACCTGTGACTTTTCACTGGATAAGCTAAAAGACAGATATGTTTCACACAGTGTAAGTAAACAAACTGTAAGGAGGGTAATATGATGCACTGACCATTTTATTTATCTACCCTTTATGTACAACAGGGGTTCTCAGATTTTTTGATGACCGAGTACCGATTTAGGGAGATGGTTGATGGAAGGAAGCAAAGAACCCTCCCCCAAAAAACCACATAAAAAAACCTAAAAGTCCTCTAGGGGCACGGGAGACATGCCTAACCTAACAGATGTATAAGAAATATAGTAAATGCAATGCATATACGTCCCATGATGCCTGTGATTACTCTCAGTAATCAGGTGGTTTATGTGCTAAATACCTGCATTACTTTGAATTTGAAATACAGTATGTCATGAAACATTTGCGATTGGGACTTACAAGCTGAAGACTGGATTAATGGTGTTTTCAATCAGCAAGGCCATAGGAACAGGCGTTAGGTCACTCTGCTCACTAAGACTGGAGAAATTACAACAGTGTGCATTATCTTAAAACAGCTTAAAAATTTAAACTTCATTAAAAAAATGCAAAAAGCAGAAAATGAACTTAATTATTATACACAACAGTATTATATTGACTTGTTTTCCCTGTTTAGTATTAAGCAGGAACAAAATACAATGTGCAACTAACATTATAAAGTCCTTACGTTGACAACAGCAGCTGACACTCAATCTTTCGTGTGTGTAGGGTGATTCCTGAGGTCTCAAACTTGAGCAGGAAAGACACCTATTAATAAAGCAATGCAAGCACATGAGAACTGTTGCAAACCCAACTGTCCAGTAGAAAAAGATAATTGTCACCTGTTCAAACCTACCTTTTCGTTTCTGCTAATTGGATTCCCCACCTCACAAATGACTGTATCAAGAAGAGTGCACTCAACTTTGTTATTCTAAACACAGAAGAAATAAACAGAATTAGTTTTAATTTTTAAGGAACTGACATAACCAGAGATGTGGCTAAACATGACCAAACCAAACCAATACAGTGTGCATCTTGTAAGAAGAGTAGCATTAAAAAACAAAGGAGATTTAAATAAAAATGGGCATCTTCTGCCCTCCAGTGGACCTACCAAAGAACTGACACTGGCATATTTCAGCACATCAGGGATAGTGACATTGAGCACGACTCTGTGGGCGTCTTCAGCTAGCTTCCCTTCAGATTGATAGTTGGTAACGTTTACAGCGAGCCCTATTTTCTTTATGGAGCTGTTGAACTGGAGCACTTGAACTTTGCCCTGACTGTAGAGGGACAACATGTATTAGCTTTGTTATTTAATGATTATTTTGCTTGACTAACACATTCATGACATAGCAATAACAAAAACAAACAACAAATATGGCTAACGATGGCTAAAGTGCTAAAATGGACCTTTCCAATGGGAGTCCATAAGCAAGGGGGAACCCTCACAATTTCACACATTTCACATTTCACTTTGTTTTCTTTGTGCTAAGCTAATGGTAAGCTGGTACTGGTGGTAGCTTCATATGCATTAGATATATACATGAGCACTGCAACAATCTTCTAACCTAACTGAGCAAGCTAACTAGTGTATTTTAACCTTTAAAAGTCAGCTTTGTGTCTATACATGAATGACTCAAAGGATGCTTGGTTGCTCACTATATAAATTTACCTGGGATAAGGCTTTTCTTCATTTTCTTCAACAAACTTTGCTGTTAGTTGCAGGTTACTGGTACATTTGTTGTCTGAGCCACACGCCTTTTGAAAGTGAATCTGCAGGAAATAGAATAAGCAACATCATATCAAATCTTACAAGGGGACACTGGACCGTACCATTTCTTTACCATCTCCAAGTTACTGAAAAGGAAACTTGTAAATGAAGTGCATGCAAGACTCCATACCTCAGTCCTTCGGCTGGATTTCTGCTCTGGGCTCAAAATTGGGAAGAAGTCCAGGTTCTGTGGGGCTCGTCTGGCTCTAGGTATTGGTTCGTATAGTGAGAAGTTGAGGAAAAAGACCACTGGTTCCAGTTTATCCCTCACAGGTTCCTGTGAATTAATTAAAGAGTTTCTTTTTGCTTGTCTCAATAAGCACAGGACTATCAGGTAGTTTATTTGTTCTCTCCAGTCACTCAGCAAGATGATCATTTGCAAATAACACAAACACAGTCAATACAACATCTGCAATAGTTGTGTTGCGCACTTACAACTACAAACAGCTTGAGAGTTTCACACGCAGTTTTGGAAGATGTCATGGTCAGGTTGCCAGTGTAAGTGTTGATGTCATTCTGAAAACGAACACGAGAGCTTCCTCTTCTCTCCCTGTCGGCCTCTACTATATACGTCACCACTTTACAGAGTGAAAACAAACAGAAAAGATTAAAGCAAGCTCATGCAGTAAATATATATATATTTTTTTCCTTACAATACAAAGAATTTCCATGGTGATGCACTTGTTTGTAAGTTGGAAACACTGTTCATTTGAAAAAGAAAATTGAACACGGAAAAACTTACTGACAGGTTTCTTGAAATTTGTATTTCCGGTGCTTAGAGTGAAAGACATGCACAGAGTAGCTGTAATGCTGTGAAGCACAAAGAGAAAGAGAAGAAGAACTGAGACCTGATAAAACACTCAATAAGCCAGTTTCAGAATGACATAAATTTAGGAGACATCTCACCATGGTTTATCTCCAGAGCACATTTTATCGTCCACAATCTTAGGCTCGACAGTGAAGTCTTGGGTTAAGTGCACAACCGGTCGAGCTCTTATTTAAAAAGCAAAACAGAACAAAACAAATAAATTAATCATTATAATAATAATAATAGGAGAAATAACTCCATGAATACTGAAACATAATAGATGTCATAAAAATAGTTTGTCGTAACTTATGAGACAAATGTCACTGTAGAAAATTGCTATATATTATATATACACTCACTGGCCACTTTGTTAGGTACATTTGTTCAACTTCTTGTTAATACAAATAATACACAGTCACATGGTAGTGATCAGCCCACAACCTTCCAGCAGAATAACGTACTATGACACTACGTCAGAAAGCTCAACAAAGACTTCGCTGCACTCAAATGATACCGAGATCACAATATAATTGCCCAAAGAGCACCTCTGTGTTGTGGTGGAACAGCAGGTGAGGATTTACATCATGAATGTGCAGCCGATACATCAGCAGTGTGTGTTATGCTATGATGTCAATAAGGGGGTCCAACTAACATGGAAATATCTTGTTTAACTTTGTTTTTGATTGTGTCTACCTGAGGAGGGCAATGTGATCATCCAGAGAGCCAACTAAGATATCAGGGTAACTGTTATCATCTACGTCCATCCCTCCGCTGATGGAGTAGCCGAAGGTCTGGAATTTTTCACCAAAAGTCCTACCCATAATGGTCTGCAGAGGGAGTCATTGACACAGGTTTTCAGAAGAGTACTTTGAATAAAGTTTTTAAATGACCACAGAATGTCATACATTACCTGACTAGGCTCCCTTGATATTCCCTTTTTGCTTCCCATCCATATGTAGACCATTCCTGTCTGGTGGAATGGCGCTCCAACAGCAAAGTCTGGAGACATTAGCATTACAGTTAAACAAGTACTGGAAGCATGACAAGAAAAGATGCTAGAAAAGAAAACTAGGCACTCTTTGTGTATAGGAAATATTTGTCCTCTAGGTGGCAGCAGACAATGTTTTCAGGACTCATTTGAAACACAACAAGTTAAATACCTCTTGTTTGCAGCTGAAATGATTTCAAATTACAGAAATATTCCTTTAGCGTGCTTTATGCTCACACCACAGTTTACCTGTGGTCTGGTGCACCACTTTGATTTCACTTTTTTAAACTAGAATATTATCAGATGTAGGTCCAAAAGAGATGCTGGGTTCATGGTCACACCTTGGAATCCATCTTGGTTGATGTCGCCAATGGCGGCCAGGGCAAGGCCAAAGGCAGAATCAGATGGGCCCTTCAAAACCATTGAGGCGGTCTTCTGGAAAAATCCATTCTCGTTCATGAAAATGTACACTGCTCCCCCCACTTCATTCTTACGGTCAAAGTAAAAGGGGGCACCCACAATCAGGTCATTCCAACTAGAATATGCAAGACAAAAATCCACATATGCATGTAAATACAAAAATACATACACATGGCTAAGTATAGCTAACCATTCAACACAAGTCACCAAAGGTATATTAACTGCATCTCAAAAGAATGTACTACCTAGAATCTTAATGACCAACTAGATTTCTAGATAGAGAAACACCTGATTTCTTCATAATTTCAAAGTGAATCCCTCATCCCTGCCACATTAAGTCACTATTATCATCTGTGTTCAGACACACACTGCTTCACTGTTATGCACCATATGCATAAAAAGGCAAATCACGTCCTCATCTATGTAAAAAAAAAATAAAATCATTGTTCATTTCCCCACAGTTACACTCTCCGGTGTAGAAACGCACCTGTCATTGTTCAGATCTGTCACTGCCAGGCTGTTTCCAAAGTAGGAACCCACTTGTTCCCCAAGGATGATCTGCTCCAACAAAAGCTTTGGTTGAGTTTTATTTGAAAAAATCACAGCACCCTTAGACTCATATCTGGGAGCCCCTGTCACAACTGTCGAGTCATCATAGCTCAGGAGCTTCTTTTCTTCGAGAACTGAATAACCTGTGAATGAAAATGATTGAGAATCAGAGATGCTGTTTTTGACAATTGGATGCTTATCTGACGGTAGGGAGATTGAGTGTGAATCTTACTAAGGTTCCCAATGATTTGCCATTTGAAATGTTGTAAAGACACACCAACACTTACCTATATAACTATATGCTTTCTCTAGACTTTCAAAGCTTTTGTCAGCATAGTTCCAGGGGTTTTGTGGATCTATCCGTATCACATGAGTATCTCCTTTAAAACAAAGCAGAATCACACAACAATGTTAAAATCAGCTTAATACACAATTCAAGAGTATCCAAGACATAACACAATCCAATCAAATCCAACAGACTTGCACAGCGTGCAAATAATGAGTAACCCCATTATTTCAGCAGTAGGCAAAACAGGTTAGCTCGACAGTTCCCACCTTGCCAATTGTAGCTGCCCGGAGAGCCTAAATAGACATCAGTTTCCGATATACCGCCTGAAATGCCCATGTTGCACATGCCGTCCAAGTTGTGGTCGTTGTTGGGATTGCAGACGTCATAATTTTCATCCTGCCACTGATCCTCTTGGTCAAAGGTCAGGTCATTACTCCTTACATAACATTTTCCTAACATCCGCCACTGATTCTCTGACATTACCTTCACATATCGATGTCCGCATGCCTGGAGACCAGAGAAAGTATTGAAGAAGTGCAGTGTGTCATATCAGAAATTGACAGTGCTCAATTCAGTGACTAGGAAAAACAGCTTCAAGTAAACTGAAGAATCTCAAACATCAATATAATGAAACCAGTGTCGCTGCTTTTTAATTTACACAATGGAAACGGTCCTCCCTTTGAGCAGTTACACAAAATAATAATTTTCTATGAGCCAGATATCAATTTTAGCCTTCTAAAAGAAGTTTAAACAGTCAAAGATGTTTGAAACATGCTAAAATTAATTTCTTCCTGATAAAAGGGAGTTTTTCCGTCCCACAGTCACCAAGTGCTCACTCATAGGGGGGTGTCTGATTGTTGAAGTTTTCTCTGCAGGGTCTTTTCCTCTTACAATATAAAATCATTTAAGATGACTGCTGTTGTGATCTGGTGCTATTTAAAAATAAATATAAAAAATATATTTAAAAAAATGCATTAATATGTAAGATAGAAAAATAAAAACATGGAGATTACACCAATTAGTGCTTGAACAAAAACTGAAACATATTGACAAAGACAGACTAGGAACAACATGCTGTTAGTTTCCCCTCACTGTAAGTAAAATGTGTTCTCCAGTATATTGTAATTGTCTAAAATGTAAAAGTAATAAAAAAAATCACTTGATCAAAATATAATTTCTCCCTAAACATGAGACATTATTGCATTTTCTCCCTGTGTGTATCATCCTGTCTCAGGTGTGTGTGTGTCTACAGTAATTAAACATCGCAACAAGTCAAATGTGTCATCTCTTAGACTAAATAATAAAAGAAAACATCCTGTGTGTCAGCTCACCCTGCCTTGTACATAATATCACCGGTAGTAGTGACTCACAGAAGGAAAACAGGAAGTCATCTTACCAACACACGTCCATCTGGCTGGCCCTTCTGACTGGACACTGTCACACCCAACCACATGCCCTCCACAATCTCAGAGGTAGTTGCTGTGGATGCGTCATAAGGAGGTAGGTCAATTATTAAAGCAACTGTTTTAATTTGTCATCAGGCTGGTGCTGACAGGAAGGTCATTACATACAGAGTAATTACCTTTTTTTCTGCTTTATAATGTTCCCTGTTTTACTTCTTGTTCTTTTATTTCAATAGACCGTTTACAACCAGATTTCTATTTGCCATCATACACTAATCAAATCAAACCAGCATGCAGTACAAAATCAACCATTCCAGACTATTTATTACATTAAAAGAAACATTCAGCATGGCTATGGTGATCACAGTCATCAGAACACCTACTCAAACTGTAAATGCAAACCTTCATGCAGCCTGGATCATGCCCTGACAAATATTAACCACAAAAATGTGCTGAGACTGCAGCAGCACTCATTCTAACCTCAACATGAAAAGTGATTCAGAATCCTCTTATTATACCATTTGCCCCTAGGTTTGGATGGGAGGGGGTGGGGTCTAACATTTAATAACAGTCTGTTCATGTAAAGGTGGACAAAATAATTCCAAATGCTCCAAAGGATGCTTGATGATTTTACTGAAATGATCTGACACAGTTCTGTAGTATTTACTGTAAAATGAGGAAGCTAGCTAGTGTTCATTTAAAGGTTATTATTTTTTGTTCCTCACATTAGTTACATCCTTTTGAGGCCCTGCGCAGGGGAAAACCAGTTTTAACACGTGAAGTTCACTCAGGGAGTACAATCCTAAATAGAGCTGAGCTGTGAGTCTCCTATGGCAGTGTGAAGTAAGCGTTGTTGAACGTCTCAATCATATGAGCGATTCCTAAATTTTAGTTTAAACCCAAACTGGTTCTGAACAGTGTGCTAAGTGAGGAAGGAGGGTTTTAAAAAATGTACGTACAACATGCAGTCTGGGTTTTTTTTAAAATTTGCTTCTGTTGGAGATCTCTGCGTTTGCTGTTTCATTTTGCACCACCATCTGTTATGTTTGCATCAAATCTATGGAAGTGCTATACAAACTCAGTTGAGGTGCTTTTAAAGTATTGTGAAAGATGGCTCCTTGCTGGTGCACTGAATATGAAAATCTTCAGAAATGTTCAAAAGCGCTCTCACTCACCATCGATCATCAGAATACCAAATAAGTGAACATCTTTAAGAAGAATGGTGTTCAATCTCATCATTATTTTCCTTACATATATAGATGTATTTTAAAGGAAACCCCCCTCGAGCTCGCTAAAATCTCTTAATGGAACAGTTCAGAAACAGCTACAACACTGCAACCATGCATTCCCTTCATCACATCAGTGCTTCGCAGTGATCTTACTCGAGGTAACCAGGTCCATTCTGGAGCAGTCAGTGGTGTCGGTGGTAATGGGACAGAAGTAGACGGCGCCTGTTTCATTGACTTTCGGTAGAGATTGTGCTTTTTCTTTGGGCGCACCTATAAGAAGCCTACAAAGGCACAGAGGAACACAGAAAGAACAAAAACACAGAAAAAACAAAGAGAGAAAAACAGAAAGAAAGAGACAAACAATGTTTGAAATCACAATGGAAGTGTGGCACAGTGTTAGACAAAGCTATGACACTATCAGCAACGGTTTATCAGATAACCTTCGAGACACAAAAAAAGCACACCATGCAGCTTAGCAAGTCAATCATTTATATTTCACCTCTTGAAATTTAGCTATTTGTATATATTACAGCTATTTATTATTTTTCTAAATGTTCTAACATATTGTATTATTTAACTAGTTCAGTCTGTTACTGTTGTTGTCTTGGAGGAACTGTAACTCACATTATTTCCTTAAGGATTATGAAAGTATTCTGATTGTGATTAAAGGCACAACTTTTATGCACAGCATTTACCCACTTAGAGTGTGTGACGTGACCTGGGATGTTAAGATTCAGGGTCTAAACACACACAAAAAAGCAGACTCATTTCACAAGAAAAGAAAGAGTGAAGCAGTCGGACCATGACCTGTGACAAGCTTGGGCAGCGTACACACACACGCACACACCCCCATGCACGCACACACACATATATAGAGAGAAATTTGCTTCTTGGCTCTTTTTGTCCACTCATCGAGACACTCCCTGCATCTGCACCTCTTACCACACCACAGAGCTTTGAAGTAAAGAGATTACTGCTCTCTGAGGCTCTGTGCAGGAACACACCATTTACCGACAGCAGAAGATTTATTAGCTCCACTTTGTGGGCGAAAGGTGTGGACAAGCTAGTTTACAATATGTGAGCGAGTGACATACGCATGAAATAAAAGCACTCAGTGCTTTGGTCAAAGTGGGTAACACAAGCATGTCATTCTTCTCATTTTAGCGTCCTGAAAATGATTTCAGTGCTGTCAGTGCTGACAATGAGTTATCAGTATTGTGGGAAAGAGTAGAAATAGAAAAATAAGTAAGTCAAGATGTTCACGATTGTTGACCTAACTGCGAGTATAGTGGGAATCCAGCTTACTCTCTTATTCACACTGACAAGTTAGAATAAATAAAGGTCCCAAATGTAAAGTTAAAAATAAGTCTTCACAGTAAAATCACTGTGCTTTCAAATCCCACTTTCTCCCACGAGTCAGCCTGGGATTACTCCAACTTGGGGAGAGATCATTTCTCCTGAAAGATGAATCACAGCAAAAGGCTGTGCTATGCTAAAAACTGGAGGTCTGAAGACAAAGCGGGAAATCACTGAACAGGGTCTGTTAGCACTTGCTCTTGGTTAGTCATACCTGATTAAACACTGCTCACAGGTTTCGTGGTTTTTCAATCTGTTTAAACACAGTGAGCCCATGTACCAGGCTCCACCACTCCACCACAGTCGTCTACATATATACACACATTCACAGTGATATCGACATTAACATGCCCCTATAAACATTTACAATCTTAATCTGACTGCAGGCCTAAGAGCATAGACAAAATTATTGTCTCTTTGATGTCTCACCTAAGCCTGCAGAGAGTCAGACATGTAAATTAGTCACATGTCCCGACTTCCACTGATTTTAGATCAAATTACTCTAAAAAGTATATGAATTGTGGCACATAAGCTGACAAAACACTGACCTCAGATCAGACGCTGTGGCACACATAGCTAATTCCTTGACATTAATCAGATATGTTTATAGGTAAGTTGAGACATCATCCCTTTCGTTTTATGAATGCAGTATAACAGCACCGGCACCAGCACAACCACTTCTCAGTATGACGACAACCACAAAAAGACAAGACGGCTGCTGAGGGCCAACAGTTTCCAGGTTAAACTGTCAGAGGAGACCTTGGGTGTGGTAATTATTCAGTAATGTGGACAGTAAATAAGATACAAGATACCACAGAGGTTTGTAGTGGTGGATGGACCTAACAGAAACATGGAGAGGAGTCCCATTCAGTGTGGCGTTGACATTCTTTTGTTTATCGGTGTAGATATCTGTGTGTGTGTGTGTGTGTGTGTGTGTGTGTGTGTGTGTGTGTGTGTGTGTGTGTGTGTGTGTGTGTGTGTGGTCTTACACTACAGATTAACTAAGCCGATGAGAAGCGGGCGTGTAAAGCTGTTGTGTTTTTGAGCCGCAGGACACAGTGTCCCAAAACACTAACTCAGATATTATTGTAAAGCCACACAAGGCCTCATGGGAGCTTTATCCAAAGCACTCATAAAGGGAACGGCGTCAAGCCAGAGACTGGGCAAACTTGACACACAGATAGCAGTTTGAACTTTTCTCACTCTGAATAGAAATCATGAGGAAGCAAGGTAGGGTACAAAGTCCAGTATTAATCATGCATGCTTTAGGGCATTTGAAGATCTTGGCTAGCAGGCTGCTGATTGCAGAAAACTAGAAAAAAAAAATACTGTCATCATCTTACTATCTCAGTGGTGCCATGTGGGTCATCGGTGTTTGTTGTTGAAATTTAACAAAGCTGTGTGATACCATCACATCTAACACAAGACGGGTTATCAGCTACCTTAGGTCCATGTACGTGCTACATGAACATTTAAGAACAGGTTGACAATTCGGCTAACTGACAAATGTTAGATGAGAATTCCACGTGTCAGGCAAATATGAACAATCAATAAATATTTTTTTAAATATCATTTATTGTCAATACTGGAGGATAATATATATCATATATTAGGCTATTTGTCATTAGAGAAAAGTGTTGCAGATTGCAAAATACAAAAGGTTTACCAAAACGCCTTTCTCCATAGCTTCCAGTGTATGCGATGTTGTGTATAGGACTACATAAACAAAAAATTGTACCAGACACACGACACAATGAACCTACCCCTGTTTTTAAAAATAAATGAGACACAGGGTTAGCTCAAAGGTTCAAAGGGCTATCTTTATAGTCAACCAGTCTAAAACGCTGCACAAGTCACAGTAATAAATAATATCTATGTTTTAGCTTTAGTTTGACTGCTAGAAGATTTTTGAGATGATACCGATACATGCTCATAATTTTGATATATTGACTAATATATCATGTCCCTGCTTTCATGTCCCTGAAAGCAGGTACATGTGTCATGTCCCTGTTTTCAGGGACATGACACATAAACGGATCTCCCTAGCAACATTTATGCGTAGTTATATACTACAGATGAATTAGACAGGCTCTAGTTTTAGCATCTTTTAGCAACTTTTCTTTTTAGTCTTTTTTTTATAATTTTTTGATCGAGTTAAATCCTGCGGTAGAGAATCAGGGAGATGAATGTCCTGCCAAGAGAAGCTTGACGCGTGCATTTATGTTCATATTTGGCCCCTACATGTCAACTCCTGCTTGTTAATGTATTACTGGGCATGTTTGATTGTTTCTGACAGGCCATAATGACCCTAATCCCACTGAGAAATGTCCCAGTGCTCCCAACAATCAGACTGCCACTGTTAATTTTTAATGTAAACACATAAGAGTAGCTACTTTTGGCAAAAAAAAGAAAAAGAAAAAAAAGAATGAGCTTAATTTCCAAAATTCCAAAGTTTCGCTTGAAAAATGACCTTGATATCCTCTTGATCATGGATGCATGGAGGACAATAATAACTGAAGGTTTTCACTTTTTCAAGTAATGCAGCACAGAACCATAGACTAAACATCATTACTAGCCCGTCCTTCACATTCCTGATCTTGAGTGAACAACTTGCAAGAAAATGTCAACTTTTTCATTAAAAGCAGATCTTTTTTTTTTGTTTTTGATGAACCCACATTTCTCTGTTGCATATGTAACCCTCATAAACTTGGCGTACAACTGATTAACAACGAGGTGACTCGCACGTCATATCCCGTCCTGTCCTAGCTGTGTGCTCTCCTCCTTATCGCCTTTCATGCTCATCACCTCCTCATAAACAGGCTGTCAAAGGCTCGGCTAAATGGAAAGGGAGAAGCAGGCAGCTGCATTCCAACTCCAGGACATGTTGCAATTTGCCCCTTCTGTCTAAGAAGTCATCCAAAAGGCTGGCTAAACCAAACATTTACTGTTTGCACCCAGCTAGGGGTGGGCGATAGTGATGTGTCGGTCGCGAACGAAATGGCTCTTAGAGCCGGGTCTTTGACGTGAACGGCTCGGCTCGGCTCACTAAAAAGAGCCGGTTCTCTAAAAAGAGCCGGAAATCCCATCACTAGTGGGCGATATAAACGATATACGATAGAAACTATATAAATTTGGCCAACGATAGAGATTTTGACTATATCGCTCTATCGCGATAGCGCATGTTGATGATGTCATCAAGCTGCGCCTGTTTTGGTCGAAAGCATCGCAGCGGCTAAAACCATTATCATCTGCAAATTATGGCGGGTGACAGTCATAGCAAAGAGATGAAGCACTTTTGAAATATGGGGAAAGACAAAAACTGCGCTTCCTCCACTTCCGTAACATTGATTCATTAATGCTGAATTCTCTCGCAGCTGCTCCCATGTTGTTGCAGTATATTAATAACTAACCTCGTATTGTGGATGAATAATCTCAGTTGTTCTCCTGACTGAAGTTTGGCCCCTGTATAGCATCCCGCTATGCGATTGCATTTGTCTCTAACCACCAGAATCCGTCACGTTAACTTTTAATGAGTGGAAAAAAAGTTGGCGTTCATCCTCCAGCTTCACTGTGCTAATGTTATGCTAACATAGCTGTGTCGCTAGCAATCACGTAGCACAACATTATATACCAGGTAGTCCAACTTCAGTAACCCTGCAAACACCACTGCTGTTTAGTTTTCTGTCTTCATTTATGTTGGAAGTGGTAGCAGAGCTGTACGTTTTAATTAGTTTCAAAACTGTTACTGTATATTTGTGTCAGCCATTAAGTTAAACAAACAGTGGTTCATTTATCTAGTCATGTTAGCCGGCACTGCCTCAGAAAAGCCTCTGACTTGAGCAAGAACAGATAGTGGGAAAAGTCTCTCAACAAATGAGGGGAGCTGCAAGGGAAAGAGCGAAAGGGCTGATTGTAAGCAAATGTC